TGTTTTACCTGACTTTTAGCTGACCTGGCAGATGTGCCCAGGAATGAGCACCCAGAGATTGAACCTCAGGGGTTAATTACCCTCTAATATATCAAATTATATGATTTGATGTGCTCTATTTCTTTTTTCTATCCTGTATTTAGATGCTAGGCAGGGAAGATCTAGAATAGACATGTTGATATTTTGTTGATATATGTTGATAATTTATTGATAGCTTTTACCTGGGAAAAAATGTAGGACATCCATTCTTATGTACACAATAACATAGTTTGTCCATGGAAGAGGGAGGAAAGAGTGTATCAGGTTGGGTCTGGTCAGGAGACAGAAGCTACACAAGTTATTTTAACAGAATGAATTAGTTTGAAGACTTGTATAGGGGAGGAAATGTTTTTACTCAACCCTCTTAGGGTCGCTGGCTGGGTGTGAAAATCAAACTGACAAAAACATATTAATAGGAGAAAATCATACAAATTTATTTAATGTAAGTTTTATGTGACATGGAGCCTTCATAAGGAAATGAAGACCAGAAGAAATAGTTAGACTTGCATATTTTTATGCGAGGTTTGATGAAGCAGTTGTGGAGGAATAGGGTAGGTTAGGGAGTATGAGGTAAGTGTAGTAAACTGGGGGAGACTTAGGCCTGTTTGTTAGGATTCTTCTCCACATCCCTTTGTCTTCCATAAGGATGCTCCTTTCCTCCAGGTATATGGAGGGCACCTCTCGCATGTGGCCTTTATGACCTGTTTCAGGGAAGAAGGGTGAGAAGGGGAGGAGGTCAGAGTAAACTTCCTGCTTCTGAAGCTTCCTCAAACTCTTTCAGCTTAAAATATTCAATGTGCCAAGGTGCCATATTTTGGGATAGTGTGTCTTGAACCCCATCTCTTGTTAACCAGGTATTGGACAATCCAAGAATTGTAAAGGGATACGGAGGGTCACAGAGGTAGTAAACTGGGGGACGCAGCTATATTTCTAGGCCTGGGGGAATAAAAGGAAGAAGTTAGAATAATGCAAAGTTAAGTATTTGGATGACGGGCCTTACAGAGGGAGAACCCAGGCCTCTGAGGAGGGGGCACTGGACAGCTGGCTGTGCTGGTGTCTCTGAAGGGAGCATGAAGAAACTGATGCTGGGAATATAGAGAAACTGCAAAGTGGAGTCACTTGCTCTTACTGGAACCAGTTGCTTCTGCCAGGGTGAAGAGTTATCGCTGGGGCCACGCTGACAGAGTAGGGAGCAAGTAAGGAGGCAGTTTACTCTCCTCCTCCTGCTTCCAGTCACGAGGTGGCACCTGCTACCTGCAGACCTAACAGGGAGGCTGCTGGCCCAGGAGAGATGTGATTTATAAAGTCCCAACCCCAACGCCACTAAGCAGGGTGTGTTTGGATGTGAGAGACAGTTAAGTTAAAAACCAACACAGAGAGAGAGCATACACATGTGCGTTCACACAAGAGAGAAAGAAAGAGAGAGAGAGGACGTGTGCATTTGAGTGAGCCAGCAAGAACAAGAATGTGTCCAAGAGTCTGCTGGAATAAGGAGCATTGTTACTGAATTATAAAAATAATCATAATAATAGCCTGAGCATAAGAACTTGGTTCAGGGGGGAAATAACATTAAAGACCTTTATTTAGTTTGGGGTGGGGTGGTGATTAAGTTCTACAGTCAGGGCATTAGGAGAAAATCACATATAAACACTAGAATCACACACTAAGACTCTGAGAGTCTGTTGAGATGAGAAAAAAGATCTGTGTCTCTCATTTCATGCTCATTCTGTGACATACACGTGCATACTGAGTGGAATGCAGGTAGAAAACCTCTCCCCTGCCCCATTTATGTTATTACTTTCTCTGTCTTCTCTTGCTCTCTCACCAACCATGGAGAGAGGAATTCTTGTAAGTTATGTGTTATGTGTGCTACAACTTCACCTTAAATTGTACCAGGGGATGCTAAGCACTCTCTCATATGCTATATTACTTGATGATCCCATTGGCCCTAAAAATGGTGTTATTATGCCTTCTTAACTGAAAAGAAATCAGATGCATAGAAAGGTTAACTAATGTGCTGTGGGCACAGCCAGTGAATGATAGAACCTGTTCAAACTCTAGTGTATCTTGCTCCAAAGCCTATGCTCCAAAATTAGCATAGCCTTGCTCCCACTCTCTGAAGGTTCTGCCCTGACTTCATGCCTAGGGAAAATCATGTCATTTCTAACATCAAAATAAGGGGCCTATGCAAGGTCTTTAAGATACGATAGACTTGCAGTGTCCAATATGGCAGCCACCAAATATTTGTGGCTATTTAAATTTAAATTAATTAAAATTAAGTAAAATTTAAAATTCAGTTCCTCCGTTGCACTAGCCACATTTCAAGAGCTCAATAGCTCTTGTGGCTACATGTGGCTAGTGACTGCCATATTAGTACAGAGCAGTTGCATCCTCGCAGAAAGTTCTGAATTAGATCCATAGTGAATGAGAGCATGACTCTAAAACCTGTTTAACAAACCTAGCTCTGCACCTTACTGGTTGTTCATCCATGTGCAGGTTACCTAACCTCTCTCTGCCTCAGTTGCTGTATCTGTAAAATAAGGATAGTCAAGACAGCTCCTCATAGGGTTCAGATGAAAGTTAAATAAGACACTATTTGTGAAGTTCTTAGCATGGTACCTGGCACATCATGAGTTCTCAATGTGTGTTACCTAAAGGGGGAAAAGTTCTCTTAGCTCTAACATTATGTGATTTTCTAAGTACTCTACCATATCCATGTACCCTGATATTTTTATTCGGGGAAGACTGGAAGGAGTTTGAAGCAGAGGAAGGAGGATCTTGATAACCTATATTTGGAGTGCTTCATAGAGTCAAGGAACCCTATATTAACTCACAAATTATGTTATTTAATATACATTTCTATAACTCATACCATGCACCAGGTTCTGATCTAAGAACTTTGCACAGATTCCCTCATTTCATCCTCCAAACAGGCCTATATGGTAGGTATTCTCTACCCTCATTTTCAATACCCTCCACATTTCTGTACTCTCCACATTTTACGACTTATCTTGATAAGTCCTGCAGGAGTGGGGAAGACAAAGAGGAAAGAACAAGATTCTATCCTTAAGAAGAAAATGAAGAAAGAGATAACTGTAGAGAGTATATTATCTCAGGCTAGATATTTTGTGTGTGTTATCTAATTTAATGCAGCAGCCCTATGACACGGGTCACATTCTCCTCTTTTATAGATGTGGAAATAAGCTAAAGAGGTTATTAAAACTAGCCTAGCATCACACACACTGCTTCAGGGTGAGAACTAGGATCCTAACCCAGGCCTAATTCCAAATCCCATATGCTTTTTTTTTTTTTTTTTTGGTGAGGAAGATTAGCCCTGGGCTAAGATCTGTTGCCAATCCTCCTCTTTTTGCTGAGGAAGATTGGCCCTGGGCTAACATCCGTGACCATCTTCCTCTACTTTTATGTGGGACGCCTGCCACAGCATGGCTTGATTAGTGGTGAATAGGTCAAAATCCTTGAACCCCGGGCCACTGAAGTGGAGCATGCGAACCTAACCACTACACCACTGGGCCAGCCCCCAAATCCCGTACACTTTTCACTGCATCTTGATGTCTATTAATAAGGAAGATAACACTTTTGCATGTTTAAGTACAATATTAGGTGGAAATAAAAGAATATAGATAAATTGCTCTAGGAGTTGAGAGGAAGAAGGGATTACTCCTAGCCAAGAGGGTCATTAGAGTCTTCTTTGAAGAGGTAGCGTTTGAAATGGAGCTTGAAAGTGGGTAGGATGTGGGCAGGTGGGATTGAGCAAAGAAGATTCCAGGCAGAGGGAGGAGCACAAGCAAAGATTCTGGCAAGATGAGGATACCATGAGTAGTTGGCAGTGTTGGCCCAAGGATGGGGATCTGCCTGCGTGGGAAGGAGTATTTTGTCACCACCATTACTTAAAATTGCCAGTGCATGGTCGTAGTAAAAGGGAGACTGACTCTTAGTTTTATTATTGCTTTTAAGTTCTCTATAGAAAATGTGCCCTCTCTATCACGTGTGCCCAGGACGGACCACTCCCACCAGCCCCTACCCTGTGGTACCCCACTGGTACCTGGGTTTGTTTGGATAAATTTCTGTTGAGCACCTTTCTCCCTGTGCCTTTCTTGGCAGCACTCCAAGTTCCTATGGTTCTCAGCCTGTGTTCTTCACTGGTGTGCTACCTACCCTGTGCTCTGGGAGACAGGTTCTATGAAGGACAAAGGGGTAGCCCTAGGCTTTCCATGACTTTTGGGAAAGGAGGGCCACCAGTGGAGCCAGGTGTCTGTCACACTCCAGGTCTGGAGTTCTTCTGCCCAGTCAGGCAGCCTGATTGGGATAGAAACTTTCTCCAGGATCTGAATGATGCTTTAGAGTCAATAAGCAATGCTAGGTTGAACCAAAGGGCACAGACCACGAGCCTGAGGGAATCTTCTTAGAGATTTGTCACTCGATGGGAAGTTGAGAGTTTGAAGTTGAAGATTGAAATCACTAAAGAGAACACCAGGTGGTTGTTGATACCCCCCAGCCCTACGTCCCTGCCCTTTCCCATACTACTACCCCTGCACAAAGGAAAGAGGAGGCCCTCCTGCTAATTTTCAACTGCATTTTGCTCTCTGTTATGTAGCATTTCAGTGGCAGAATCCACACAGGAGAGTTGGGACAAGGCTGGCTGAGGTTCTCAAGGAGCTGAGTTTTGAGTTCAGGTGCCTGCATGGCAGTGGAATGATGCCTCCTGATCTTTCAGACCTTTGAGACCTCTGGGCGGTCTTAAAAATCACTTCAAGCCTCCCATCCACGATACGACTGACTAAGGGAAAGGTGGCAGGTAGAGTATCCTTTCTGAGTACTATTTTCTCTCGTCCTCCCTTCCCTCCTTTCTGTGTGTCTGTGTTGCTCTGTTGTGTCTCCTTCTCCTCAAGATTCCATAGACCAGTGATGCGGGGATATTTATTTTATGTTCTTGTCAACAGAGATATCATGGACTGGAAGGTGATGGGTACTCCAATGAGCTCACTACAAGATCTTAAAGATTCCAAGCCACTGGCTGCTCCAAAGCATAAAGCCACCCTTCTGGAGAGGCGGCACGAAGCAAGCCTGGAGGAGGTGAGGAACCATCACTCTTCCCTCTGCCCTTGACTCCATCGGCCTTTAGCTATCAGATGGTTTAGGCCCAGACCTGATGGACTTTTTCCTGTGTATCCTTCCACAGGCTCTGCTTTTGGCCAAAGGTTGGGCCACCTTCTCAGATATCCTGAGGAGCTGCTGAAAGACGGTGAGGAAGATGCTGTCCCCAGGACAGAAACACAGCAGCTGGAACCAAGAAGCACCTAGCGTGGGACTCAAGCCCAGCTCCCCTTCAGACTGAAGCTCTCTGAGCTGAGGCTCCGGATTGGACTGTCTTTGCTATGTCCTCTCCTGCATAACATGCAGTTCTGGATGCTTTTGAATGGTTGGCCGTCTTTTTTATCCTGTCTTTTCTTTTTCTTCTCTTGGCCCTGGGAATTGTAAGAAAAGAATTGCTTTAGGAAGTATAATTCTGTTGCTGAAATTAGCCTTGTTTGTGAATAAATTCTGTCCCTAGGGATTTTCTAAATTGCAGTCCCAGGTTATCTAGTAAATGGGGCTGCATGGTTTGATTTGCATAGTACTGATCCTTAGATTAAAAATACATTTTCTTCCTTTCTTTTTTTTTTAAGTTTGGATCCAGGTAATGGCCTGAGTCACATTTGCTTAGCTACTGAAGCGATCTCAGTGTGGTATCGCTTGGAGTGGAAATATAATCAAACGTATATTATACCTAAGGCTCTTGCACGCTATTTGATATATATGTTATGCTACAAAGGAACACAAACCTTGTAGGTTGAAATTTAATTCCTGTCTGATCCTGCAACTAGAATGGTGGAGAAATTATAAATATCAAAAGTGGCTTCAAATACCCTGAATGTAGGCTAACCAACAGTAAGTGAACAGTTTCCAAATGCCATTTTCTAAGGCAAAGCAGGAATTGGAGATCAACTGACCTCGTCAACGACGTTGCTCAGGTCTGTGTGTGGATCTGCCCATTTTGGAGGAATTAGGGAACAAGGCATGATTCTGTGTTTGGGTTTATGGAAATTGTGGTATTTCTGACTTACGTTCTGTAACTGTGCCTGCCTTGCAATAAAACACCTTCAGTTGACTCAGCAACAAGGTCTCTGTCAATTTCCTGCAATACTGTGTCCTCAGTGGCTTTGTAAGAAAGTCCAGCATAGATAGATCTACAAGTGGTTGACCGGCCAGAGATCTCAGCTGAATACAACGTTATTGCTCTTTCAGAAATGTCACTAGAGCTATTTGTTGTCTACACATGGGGTCAGTGTGTGGTCAACTCTACTCTTCATATTTTAGTCAACTCTAGAAATCCCTCTAGAAATCATAGCATAACTCTTTTAGGCCAGTGTGCTGCTATCTGCGATCATTCTCTAATTCTGGAGTCCCCATTTATTTCTATGAGAGTCTAGGATGAGCCACAAACTCTCTGAACCTCAATTTCCTCATATATAAAATGGGGATAATGACACCCCCTATAGTTATGGTGATAAGCGATACATCACAGGGATGGTACTTGACACATTGTAAACACACTGGATGTGCCAGCTCAATAAATAAAGAATTGAAAAGACATGTTAATTCCTTATAGTTGACCTTTGATTGAGAACACTGAGTAACCTCTGAGGGCTTCTTGCTTAAAGCCTTTATAAAGAAAGGTGAAGATTTATGAGACAGAAGTCAGGAGAAGAGAATCTGCTGCTCCCTGACTTGACCACGCAGCCAAAAACCCTAATTCCTTCTTCTGTGGAATTAAGGGCAAGTGTTTTACCTCCTTCACAGAGATGACATTGCTTTTACAGAAAGTGAAATTTACCATGTACACAGATGTGTGAGATACCATCTTTCCCACCTATTTGGAACATCAGACCCCTGCCATCTGAGGGCAGATGAATTTCTCTTTAAATACTGACAAAGAGATCTCACTCACTGTGGGGAAGAATGTGACCCATCTCAGGCCTCATCAGACTGTGTCTGCCACTTTGGTAGAAAGTGTTTTTTCGAAAACCCCAGCACTCTCCACCACCACACCTGAGATTTCAGGATGACCAAAATATGAAGCAAAGACAAGAGCTAAGATAATTTATGTTGGGTGGCAGATGAAGTCGTTGTTCTCTGATTGCCATGGTACGTATTATAGTCCCACAGGTACTATCCCTGGACTCCAAGCTGATGTATAGTAGAAAGAACATTTTCTAATTTCTACCATGAAGTCATTAAAATGGTGATAATAACACAATAGCAAGTAACAATAATTACAACATGCTGTATGCTGGGTACTGGGCAAAGCAGTTTATAAGCACTGGCTCTTTTAATTGTCACAACGACCACGTGAGGTAGGTACTCTGTACTCCCATTACCTGGATGAGAAACTGAGGCATGAAATGACTAGGTAATTGGGCCAAGCTCCCCATTTGGTGAGAGTCGTAGCTGGGACGCCTGACTCCAGAGCTGGGGCTCTTTACCACTGTGCTCAGCTGCTTCCTCACCTGGGGCCCGGTCCCTGTCTACTTTACTGGCTTCTGACTTTGAACTTAGCCTTTGGAACTTCATTGTCCTTACTTGTAACTTGGGACTATTAATTATCATCCTCTCCTGCCTGCTTCCCACAATTATTGTCTAAGCTCTTGGCAAATGTATGCCAACTAACTGCAAATCAATAAGAAAATCAGTAAGAAAAGTAAAGATGTTATTTTAAAAATTAGTATTTCTAAATTAAAAATTAAATGTCCAGGTTCAGCCTACCTTATGCTAAATTCTACTTCTATTTAGCATTCTGAGGTTCTGGTGCATCATACCCAGAGGAGGCCCTAATGGATATGAATGTTGAGCCTAAGAGCTATCTCAAGAGTAAATGAGAGAAAGCACTGACTAAAGGCGAGATAATATTAGATTCTTGAGCAAAACCTTAGATCCTGAAGTCTGTGTCAGAAGACATCACTCATGCCAGATGGAAATAACCTCTTCTCAGTTCCTTCCAACAGCTTATCCAGAAGGTGGTGTTACCGTGTATCCGTTTGAAGGGCCACTGGAGTTTAAAGCAGTTTACGTATTTACAAGCAGAGTGTAGCAGTTGGCACCTTGTCCGTATCTCTGAGGGATTTCTCTGGCTGGGATGCCTGTGTGCATCCCAGGCCTGAAGTGCCGGGGTGTTCGTTCCCCTCCCCACTGAGACTAGCCCTCAACCAAGACTGAAAAGAGTTGGTACATAAGTGTCCCAGCTCCCTTACCCTTTGGGTGGATGACAGGCACATTCTACCCTGGCTCTGAGTTCCCCAGTGAGGTGACGCTCCAGTCACTCATGGTGGGAACTAGTTTGTTAACCTACTTTTGTTGGCTCCCTTTTCTTCCTGGTCTCACACTCTCACTTCTCAACCAGTGTTTCCTGGGATCACCTCTCCAATAAATAGTTAGTTTGCACATAAATTCCTGTCTTAGGGTCTGCTTCTGGGGGGAGCCCAAGCGAATTCAAGATTCTGGTGCTGATCAGTTATAGAAATAATAATGTCCCAGAGAAGATACAGCAGTTATCATTCAAGACTGAACGGTTTCTCCCCTTGTCCTTCTACTGACACCTCTGCTATGTTAGGAAGTGGAAAGGAGACCTTATAAATCGGAGAACCACTTGCCAGAGAACAGTTTCCTTCCGGTGAAACAGGCACCTCCACAGATTTCGAGATATTTTTCCTTTAAATGACAACTACCATATGAGACCAGGCAAGAGTCACCTGATGGCAAATCAAATTACAAGTCACCAGCTAGAACAAGTAATTAAATATGAGGGGGTAATGAGAAAAGGAGACAGTCACAATCCCAAAGCCCCCCGTTCACCTCTCAAGGACTCCTATTTGCCTTTGAATCACTTCTGCTTCAATTAACATTGATTGAGCCTGCCTAAAGTGCCTGGCTCTTGTCAAATTCCGTTACAAGAGGCCCCAAGACACTCTGTCCACCAGCCTTTGTTGTGTCTGACGTTTTCGTGGGAATATTGAATATTGCGTGAGTAGCTCACGCATTGATCAAGATTGTGATACAGGTTTGCTTTTTCTGGCATTGCAGTTTTGTAAATGGGATTTCATCTTTGCCATTATCATTATCAACTCAAACCAATTCTCTTAAGTTCAAGTTATGATGCTTTATAATTTTATTTATTTATTTTTCATTTTTTCCCCCAAAGCCCCAGTAGATAGTTGTATGTCATAGTTGCACATCCTTCTAGTTGCTGTATGTGGGACGCGGCCTCAGCATGGCCGGAGAAGCGGTGCGTCGGTGCGCGCCCAGGATCCGAACCCGGGCCGCCAGCAGCGGAGCGCACGCACTTAACCGCTAAGCCACGGGGCTGGCCCTATGATGCTTTAAATAGCATGTCAGATTGACCTGCTACTGCTTTTAAAGATAAATGTTGAAAATGTCAACCCCGTAAAGTAAGAAAATGTGCCTGAATCTTTGTTACAGACATCACACACCTAACTTATTTTTGTTGTTGTTGGGAGGAGGACACACAAAGAAACATGTTTCCTCTATGGCATTCCCAGTAAAGACTTTGATGTTTATTTTATCAGAGATGTAAATGGAATTATGGTATGTATCAGAGTCTGCTTTACCTCTTTTCTTCTCACTCTTTGCTAGGGTCTTGGAAAGTGGGGCTATATTTTAAGCAAGATTAGGGTAAGATTCCGATTAGGAAAAAAAAATCAGAGAATAGCATTGCTCCTAGGATCGTAAATGCCCAAGGACCTTTTATGTAGGGAAAACACTTACTACTATTGGTACCTTTTTAATGCCCAAATTTTTAATCTCATTAATTATTAAATTTTTTTCTAAACATTTAAATGCTACTTTTGCCACTAATAAACATACTTTATGAATCAAATCATCTTAAATATTTAAATGCTGATTACAAATAATTTTAAGTAGACGAATTTTCCTAAGTATTTCAATAAAGTCTCTACTCATTTCATTTAAAAGCTTCACAGGCTTTAAAAGCAGACAGCATGCACATGTGTATACACACACACACACAAGTAATCACAATGAGACTGAGAAAATGTTATACCTACATTTAAAAAATTAAGAAGTATTTATACTATAAGTTTGATTTGTCTTCATTATTCATAAACATGTTTTATCCTTTCCCTGTTTTTGATACTTCTCAATGTTTATACCTTCCTAGAGTTAACAGTAATCTTGCCAGACTTGAAAGAACGCAGTCTCAGAATAGCTGAGTTTACAGATTCTGGGTTATCAGCCACTTGATTTTGGGTTGGCATATGGGATGTTAGTGGATCTCTTCAAAGTTGATTCAATCCTGGGCTGATGTTTTCTGGCCTGAGTTTTTTCTTAGAGTCAAGGTTCAGTTGCTATGTCAATGAGCTATACTAGCAATGTGGAGTGCCCCCTGAGAGCTCCCAGGTCCATCAAATCTT